CAAGTAACTAAGTAGTAGTACGATGCGTTTTTAAGAAAATATTTTGGCTACAAATAACATCCAGTTTTATTCCCATGGATACAATTGCATGTTGCAGTTATAATTGAAACAAAATAAAAGCTGGTTTTTCTTTCATCACAACGATGCATGTGTTCTTGCAATGTGACGTTTTCACTTTGCAAAGCATATTCATTTGAACTCTACGGCCAAATTAGAAATAACGAATCGCTTTGCGAACGTACGCAATTGGGAGGACTTAAGGCAGCAGCATCATCTGATGCTTCTTCGTTCTTTATGATAATTTATCTCTTTCTCGTCTGCCATTCGTTTAACAGAATAATCTACTGTAAAATATATTTCCCGTCGTTCACAATTTCACGAAATGTCTGCATTGTACTTTCTTTGCCATTTAGATCATTTGAGCGGGCATCAGTAACTCGCTTGTGTCGTTCTTTCTCTTTCCCTCTCTTATCCACTTGGCTTGCATTCCTTCTTGTTTATTGTTATTTTGCTATTGCTAAAACTATTGATTCTTGTTGTTGGTTTGTTTTTCTCTCTCTCTCTCTCTCTCACTCACTCATACACACTTACTCACTCTCTGCGCTTCATTGGATTGTAAATTCCTGGCCATTTGGTTTATGACTCACTAAAGTTCAACTTAAATATATACCGATCGGATGACCATTTCCAATTTTAAATTTCGACTATAAATTTTCATTTCGATGAAAATTCGTCTTTAATCTTCCGTCTATGTGAATGTTGTCTTTGCTGTGGACAAAACAATACGATACAACAACAACAATGACGACGACAACAAGAGAAAAAAGTGTGCCGAGAATTGCTTCCACATAACTGAAACTCCATTCACATGCACCCATATTCAAGCTAAGAAAATATGGTACTTTTTTCAATCAAAACATATGGAACTCACCAAACGCTATGGTCTTTGTTTTACTCACACACAGTTAGAACCACCTATAAATCTTTCATTTATTTTATCGTTGGCTATCATTTTTTTCCATTCAATTATTCGTTTCGTTTGCTTAATCGACGGTAAAGCCTCGTACAACGATGCGTTTGAGTTTAAATTTAATTTATTTTATTGAATCTGTGGCGATATAAATAAAAATTAGATCACATTTTCATCGATGGCAACCAAGACGATTGACGAAGAGAGAGAGAGAGAGAGAGAGAGAGAGAGAGAGAGAGAGAGAGAGA